GTGAAAGACTTTTTTAAAATCGCATCAGTAGTACTGGAGATTACTCCAAACATTCAGTCATACATAATTTACCTCTTCATAGTAGTATAGATTTGTAATAGATTGATACAAAAAATATATAAACAAAACAATAAAAAAATATATGTATATGGCGCATAGAATGGCGCATAAACATAAAAAAGTATTCCTCAAATCATACGAAGTTCCCTTACAAGTTTATTGCGTCTGCATGTGTGTATTACACACACACAGACATATATGAAATTCATCGCATCTATTCAATGCGACATCGTTTGGTAATGAATAATAGATACGTGACAGATATAATAGAATAAATACAATAATAATTATTATTATTGTCTATTTTTAATATAGGATATTAAAATAGACAATAATAGATATATCAAAATATCGATGCACCAGGAGAACAGAACTTCCGAAGAGGCATACAGTAATTAAGAGGCTATATGCAGGATTCTTCTTACAATTGTGGCAATCGATAGTTTCATATAAAAGTTCTTACCGTCCAGTCTAAATGGAACCCTTGACCTAAGTGCAAAGTGAATCATAGATCATCAATTGTAAATGTCTTTTTTTCAAATATGCTTGGAAATGTGAGCATTATTTTGACAATCTTCTTCGAGATAAATCAAAATTGGCGTACTGACCAAATATATGCGGGCAGCGGCCGGCAAAAGTTGTATGAAAATCCATATCTGTCGTGTTTTGCGGCCAGATAAATTACTAAATTTAAATTACATAAATTACTATGTAAACTCATATCTAATCTGTAAAAATGGAATGACATTTTACTTCGAAACATGGCTACCAAGGAGGTAACTAATAAAAGGTTTTATTTAAATTTCGAACTGGCTTGCAAATAGAAGGCTGTATATTGAAAAAAAACAAAGGAACATTATGGCGCGTGAAAAATTATTATTGTTCGTTATTCGTCATTGATAGCATGAATTAGTTGCACCGACAAGAGGAAACTCTTAAATGAAAAGAGATTCGTCATTGAACTTAAAAAGTAAAATTGTGTTTTTGATTTCCGCGCATTATTTGAGAAAAGTACTATACAAGCCTTGGCCACAACTAGGTATTGATAGACTCACGTATGTGTGCCTCGGCTACGCCTCGGCCCACATTTGCACGTTCGTCCATCAATGCCTCAGTTGCTGGCCGCTGCAGTAGTGTAGATATGGTTACTTTAAAAGTTGCATTAGTATGAACCTTAGATTATATAGATAGAGCATAAAGCCTGAAAAACGGGCCAACTTTTTGTCAGCTAATTCTCAAATGAGCTGACTCGTTTTTTTATCAGTGTTCATCTAAATCAATATGTAATGTATATGTATCTTGTAATTGCATTTGTATATTTTTGTTGAATAAATTATTATTATTATATAGAAGTTATAAAGGAATCACTTATAACTATTTATCACACAAAATTGTATGAAAAAGACTTGTTTTTCTCGAAACATTTGTATGGAGACACTCTATCTATATAATGTTAGGTATATATATTCTTTATTGCACTTGTAAATTACATTGTTAATGCATTTATAAATATTGTGAGCAAGGGTGGACTTATCTCTGACAGAGATCTCTTCCAGTCAACCCAATGCAGTTAGAAAGCATGTTGTTAGCGGGCAGCTGAAGTGCTACAACTATTAATATTTAGAGTACATAAACAAATATACAGTTAAATAAAATATTAAGATACATAATAAAATATGAATATAATATAAGGTATGAAGTAGACATTTTCGGTTGTATGTTATATAGTACATAATACTGTCCGGTAATTTACCCATTAATAAAACGCTGGTGTGGCGTAATCGTAAGTATATCCTTTCAGAAAAAAGAATTTTTTAAATATGTTCATAATGGCGGGGTTATGAGGTAACAAATTTAAAAAAATACCCAATTATAAACCTCCATTTTTGAAGTTGAAAAAATATATAGGCATATAAAAAAATATATTTTTGGTTCTTTCTAAAGTGGGGTAAAGTGGTATGGGGTTGAAGATAAAAAGATTGAAAAAAATTTATAATTATATTACGTATCACAGATGAGTCTCATACAACGAGCACAGGTTTAGCGCTAGACGTTGAAACCGCGACTGTCCGTGACCGAGCGGTAGCGGGCTAGGCGCAGCGACAGCGCACCATGTGTAGGTACCTAGCTTCGAGCACCAGGGAGGAGAAGAGATTGTTAGTAATGGGGAAGTGAGTCCCCATTGGTATCGATATACCTTAACAGGTCGACCTCCACGCAGTTCCCCCTGGAAACCATCGTGACTAATTTATCTTTTAAATTTGTCACGATGGGCTAACTGACCTGCCTTTTCACGTTCACCAATCATCCCTCACTGGTGCCCCGCCAGTGTATACCGATAGCGCGGGCGGGGTTACCATTCCATTATCATCCATAAAGCTCCGAGCACCATGCAAACATTATGCGCAGACGCATACTATGGGACTCGCCTGACTATGTTTGCGGATTAAATTGATATTATTAATATTGATATTTTATAATGTATATATGAAAGTGGATGTATGCGTGTTGATTGTTTGTTTTATGTAGTGTATGTCTTATAATAAATAAATAAATAAATAATGCTATAAGAATATATATTAATATAATGTAAAGTATATATGCTCCTCTGTGCTCCTACATACGTGTCGAGCTTTATGCGTTATTAGCTAACTAATCGCTACTTTGCGTCACTTATAATAGATGGCGCTGTAAATGATAAGAAGTTCATCGGATCATCTAGTTTTAAATTTGTAAAATAAAAATAAATTCTGTTATACTACTAATAAATATACATTTACATTTGTTATTTCTTTTTTATTATTATGTAATTGTGAGTTTCAATGTTTACGTTGTCGGTGAATTAATAAGTAAATTAAAAAACATGTTTAGTACCATGACTCCAGTTCGACATTGTGTTCAGCCTCCTGCATCAACGCTTGTCATTGCTGCTACTATGCTATATATACTGCTGTATTACTCCTATATACAAAAATCACATAATTGTAGTTTTATTATATTAGTAATAGTATAATGTGATCTTATTTACAGGATCTGAAGCTAAAATTATTAGCGGCGTCGACTACAATAAAGTGTATAAATAAATAGTAAGTAATATATTTAACAATTTTTAATAATTAAAATTAACAATTAACATTTCATTTTATTTTCTAATAAGGCTACTTCTAAATCAATGTTCATGTTTTCCTTCTTAGAATGTTCCAATTTTTCTTCAACTATTTCAATTTGTAACTTAAAATTTGACAAATTTACAAATATTTGTAATATTTGTGTAGAGCCTATTATCAGACTGTACTAATAACCAATAGACACTTTCATTTTAATAAATAATGCAACTAGCTGCTCAATTCTCTCGTGCAATGTAAATTTAGATGCAGGAATAAATATTACTGGACAAATGTTACTATGTTAAAGGCAATAAGGATTACGTTTCATATTCACTGCTCACCTATTTCTTCACACTTGCCATAATCAAATGTTGAAGGAAGTCCTTGAATGCTTTTTACTGTGACACTAACCAAAGAATTTCTGGTATCATCTAAATCCGGAGATACAGGCCCACCTCCAGTTCGTCTTAGTTCTTGTTTATGAGTAGCATAGTTCCTCATGTAAACAATTATGTCTGTTATTGGTACCTATCCATAATGCTATTGACTACTGATGTACCTTTTATAAACTTGTATAGCAAACAAGTTGATGTGGGTCATCAGCTGATGGAAATATTTAATTGTCATTTACATACATAAATGTGTAATGGATACCCACTATTCTACATTCAGCATAACATTTCATGATGGGACATGGTCCACCGTGACAAATTCACTAAACATTAACCATGATGTTTTCTGGGGGGGACAAAGCGGAGATCCACCTGACAGAGTATATTACTTGTACAAATAATCCCTTCCTCCACGTATATTACGACCACCTCAAACGACTCGCAGGAAATCATTGGATACAAAATCTTTTGCAGAAAGTATTTCTCTAGTAAAATAAACATAATTATAAGAATGTTACTATACCTCACGAGCAGTTCTTTTGATGTTTCCTCATATATAGTTTAATTGAGGAAAAGTTCAACATGAACCACTTTGTGAATTAAAATCGGCACGTAATTTAATGCACGCTTTATGTTGGGAAATCTTGTCGGCCGAAGGTGTTCTATAATGGGAAAATGAAATTCCTTGACGTATTTACAATTATAATTGTTAACACTTTATAACTGTACTGTATGTTACAAGGTTAACAGCAGTGTGCATCAAAATTCATTACCTGTTAAATCAGCTGTCTGCAGTTAAATTAGTGGTTACGATCAAAATTCTGATATTTCACTTTTAATTTTGACAGTTTACTTTTAATTTAACAGATAAACATAATTTTGACTGCATTCACATTATCTGTGATTTAACCTCAAACATAAACATAAACCTATTATTTGCAAACGTTTAAAAGATTTTTTTTAAATAAAGTACTATTTATAATTGTTATTATGAGTAATAATATGTTTTTGTTTTTATACTGAGCTTTTGACTAAGGTATTTGCTAAAAAGGCTCGTTTTGATGTATCGTTGGAGCACTGATGCAAGACATTTGGTAGACAGGCGGCTGGCTCCGTAACATACGCGCTGTACGGAATGGAGAATAGAGCAGTAAAGGCGAGTGTAGATGGTTCAGTTCTCTGAACCTGAACAAGTATTTAAATGCTTTAAAACTGTAAAAATAGTACAATGCAGGGATATAGAATACCGTGAAACCACTAGAACAGCCATATTATTACTCATAATAGCCACCTTTTAAAAATAAAGGCAACAATAATATTAAAAGAAAAATTAAAAGCAGATTAGGGGAAGTAATGAAACAAATTAGCAGAATGTACAATTGACGGAACTAATAAAAAGTATATCATAGATATTATGGTCAATGGCAACAAACTTAAATGTTATGTTGATTTAGGTAGTCATTGTCCTCTAATCTAAGATAGCTATTGCCAAACGACTTGACCTTGAAATAACTAAATCAGACGACTAAATGATCTAAAACGACAAAAATTATAATCAGTACGTGTGTAATCATCGTGAAATGAAAACCTGTAGAAGAGGTAGCTGTATCATTTCTGAAACTACCCAATAGTTTTAGAAATGGGATCGACGTGGAGTCATGTTGGACTTGAAGGAAAGCTGATTGTAAGCTTTCCTTTAGTTCCTGTTGACGTAGTGACGACGGTAACACTCGCGATAGCATCACTGCTAGATATTTGGCGACTGACGCGACCCAGGAGCCGACGATTTGGTGTACAACGGTCATCTTTCGTTATAACCAGGCTATCGATGATTCTCTTCCCGTAAATCGCTGCTATTTTGTCCGCATCTGTAATTAAGAAATATATTCTCGATAATATGTATTCCAAAAGTGAGTTACAAGAGCGCGTGCTCTCCAATAGCGAGGCAGTTCACATATTTGGACCATCTCCTGTTCAAGCTGGAATCTAGACAACGTAGTGCGTTGCTAGGGTTTTCAGAGACGATAATACTGAATATGAATTACATAGCTTAGGCTTTGCTTTATATGAGCCATGTTTCCTTTTTAATTGCCACAGGAATGAGTAAATAAATACACCTAATATAGGACATATAGGGGGGAAAGGGATTGTTAGTAATGGAGACTGAGAATCCCATTGCTAGCAATATACCCAACCAGGTCGACCTCCTCGCGGTTCTCACTGGAAACTATCATGGTTAATTCCTGATGAATTCATCATGATGGGCTAACTGGCCTGTTTTCATTCTCATCTATCACCCTTCACTGGTGCTCCGCCAGCGTATCCCGTTAGCGCAAGCGGGGTTACCATACCATTTTCACCCATCAAAAAAAAAATGGGCCATAGAAGAAATGATTGGACAGGTATTTACATGTTACATTAAAGCATAAAATATGTGCATTTTAAAACTTAAATATCGTTTTAAATATCATTATCATCTCAGCCATTATCTGTTCACTGCTGAATATAAGCCTTTAACCTAGAACGCCAAAAAGTACGGCCCTGATCCACCAGCATCCACTGATTCCCTGCAATGAATTTGAGGTCGTCACTCCATCTAGTTTGCCCGTACGGGGTCATCACTCAAGAACCTTTTTTCCCCATCGGTTGTCGGTTCTTCGAGCTATGTGACCAGCCCATTGCCACTTTACTTTGCTTATCCTTCCTTAAATAGACAGTAAGCTAATGAAGTGACAGTGTGAATATAGAGAGTGGCACCATACAGGTACGCTAAAACATAAATATGTGCGTCTTAAAACTCAAATATAGATTAAAGTAGGAAATAAAGATGTATGTGATTTAGTTTTACTCAGAACAGAAGGGACTGAAAAATCCATTCTGTTTATAATCTACTAGTGAAGCAAAATAAACTTAAACATATAATATTGTTAAAAGTATGTGTGCCTTAATAACTAAATAAATTTAAAACATTTTTACTTATATGAGATTTAAATATAATAATTAATTAGCATAAATATATCTAGTATTGTGCGTGTACAGTTAAATTTTGTCCGCCTTATTTTAAATAAGGTTTAGATAGTTTAAATTATTTTTTCTTGTTTTAAAAATGTACATAACTTACTTGTAAGCGTGAAGCGCCGAACCAAAGACAGGTAGCAAGCGGTCCGCGAGAAAAGCTGACTGGACGGCGACCGACGCGGCGCCGGCGCAGCGGCCACGTGAATCCCGACTGACCTGAAATGTGATGCAGAAAGAATGTGAACAAATCTCACAATATTGTCAATCGGTATATCTGATATGAAATCGTAAAGATCAATTAAGAAATCAATAAGGATTTATCAAAATTACATGTCCTGATTAATGAATAATAAAATCAAATTAATAGTTAAACTGATACTGGTTGTATATAATAAGTAATATGGAATGGAATGAACTCACAATGCCTTCCAGATTATGCTCAAACTCGATCCTTTTGTTCTATGATCATCATCATAATCTTAGCCAAAATCCGTCCACTGCTGAACATAGGCCTCCTCTAGAGAGCTGTCGCTGTAAACCTCTCCGGAAGCTTTGTTTCCCTGGTGTTAGAGACCTTGATATGCACTTGATAACCACGAAATTAGAAAACTTAATTAGTGCGAGTTTATAACAGTGTAAGTACACTACATTGTAAGAGTTGGCAGTGGCTTAATGTGCGCATAACTAGAAAATTTAATACATGTTACCTTTCCAAAATAAAAAAACAACATAATGAAAATTATAAAAAAAAAAATTAACACCGTTAGCGTTGTACCACTATTTATATATGCTTCCATTCAAAATATTAATATTGATACTTACCATAAAAGTACCCAGCTATTTCATAATAAAAATTATCATATTTTACGAGAAACATGGACAAAAGACAATGGTTACCACTTTCAATCAGGGCCGTTTCGTTGGGCCGTCAACTTGTTTGCCATTCTAAGTCGCATAAAAAATGAAAAGAAAAAAAACAAAAAACAAGTTTCTGTGTTTAGTCACTTTATATTGCTATATGACAATTAAAAATTTATATTATTTTACAAGTGAGTAATGCAATTCTTTATGCCGTACATTTGGAAGTGTTGTGGCGAGTCAAACAGCGTCGGAAAAAAACACGTATACATTTCTAAGAACATCTTATCCTATATGAGAAATAACCTTATTTTAGTTATAATATTATTGCAATAACATACAACTATAATATGACTAAAATTATTTTTATATGAAAATGTGACATTTTAACAGAAAACCGCATACTACAAATATAATTGAATAATTAATTGTACATAATTTTAGGTATTAGTTATCTTTGTAACATATCATTACTTATAATTCAATTTCAGTTCATATCAATGTTAGGAACAACACTAATTGATTTTAGTTAATTTTACAAGTTCATCAAAATTGGTAACATAGCACAGAAATTAGCTCCGCTACTATATAAATAAATGAGTTAATTAATTAGCTAATACATGCAAACTTTAATTATAATTATCGTAATTTATTCAGAATGCATTTTATTTATCTCTGTGTGATTTATCAAAACACATATTAATAATATTAATTGAAAAAATATATTAAGCGAAGCACTGTTTTCGAAAAAGATGGCTCAAAAAACAAACTTATTGAATAATAAAGTTTGGTAACACAGTTTCATACAAAAACGTCATTACAACAATAATGATTCAAGTGTCACAAGCCTATAATTGACTACTACATAATTTATGCATTCCTGGTGCTAGACAGGATGCGGACTGATATAAAAAAAAGTTGGATTAAAAAACATTCATCGTCCAATGTGTATGCGCAGTAAAGATTGTTTCCACGTTTGTGGAAAATATAAAAATGTCGACATTTATTCAAGTTCAAGTTAATAGGCATCCAGAAACAATAAGGTAGTGGCTCTAATATATTATGATGCCGGCTTATGAGACACGCTTATCGTTATTGTACATATGTATATACCTTTCAAGGTACTACTTGCAAGTTTTTCCCATTTAGCGTTGGCAATACCAAAACGAGTCATGTGTCCTTTCTGAATATTTTTTTTATGCAACTTAGAATGGCAGACAAGCTGACGGCCCACCTGATGGAAAGTGGTAACCGTCGCCTATAGACATGAGCAGTACCATGGACATAACAGAGTATACTGTTTCGCCCATGATACCCTCCATGCGTGGAATTGGCATTCCTGAGGACTCAGGTGTTATTCTTCTGTACCCAGTAAATTCACGCCATATCCCACCCTTCAAACCGAAACACTGCCATGAAAACACAACTGCTTCACGGTTGAAACACGAGTGGGACAGAGGTACCCAAGCAATCGACTTTTGTACAAAGTCTCCCTCTGATATTCTTAAATGGTAGAAATCGACCGCCTTGTTTACGCTTCGCATTTTCAAGTACAGAAAACAAATGCTCTTCGCTACTCTACCACCTGACATGCGTGAGACATGCAGATATTGGAAGCTGCCGCGGCATCAGGCATACTTCTATACCAAGGACGTCAGCCTGTCTAAGTACGTTGGTGTTTCTTACCCGCTCAGATCATCTGATGTTCAATATATCACGAAAGGATTTCATGTGAAACCTGACTAGCGTGCGGATATGCTTTCGATATATTGCCCATGTTTTAGAGCAGTGATTCTCAACCACTGTGCCGCGTTACTTTTGTGTGCCGCAAAATTTTAAAAGTGTGCCACCAAATTTTGCAAATATTTAAAATTTTTGTCATAAACTATTTATTCAGTGTGTAAATAATTTTTATCTTTTTCTTTGTGTGCCGCCAAATTTTGAAATCGGTAAATATGTACCGCAACAAAAAAAAAAGGTTGAGAATCACTGTTTTAGAGGAATATAGTAGTTATAATCATTATCATTCATTCATCATTATCATCGTTGTCAAACTAGCTGACTCGTTTTTTCCCTACTAGTCTTCTAGATATTTAAATCATGACGAAACTATATTAAATTGTTTAAATCAAACGAGCTTTAGCGCAATAAAAAGGTGCAAATATTATAGCACAAATAAAAAAATTATAACTATTTCTCTTTTTTTTCTCAATGTTCTCTACCCAAAGGTTGTCTGGAAGAGATTTGCTTAGCGATAAGACCGCCTTTTGTATCATATCTTATTACAGTTAAATGTATTTACTATTTTATAAATGGTGCAATAAAGTGTTAATAAATAAATAAATAACATTTAGTTTTATTTTTAAAACTATTAGTTCTAGAGAGTCTTTATATACAGTATTTTAAATTTTAAATATAAATACAATTATTAAAATTATAATCCACGCCAGTTTTTAGTGTTACAAGTACACAAAAAAATCCCGCAATTGAATTAAAATTCCTGAAATGAGGTGATTTTTTTCTAATATTATTTGAATATTTACGCTATTTTATTACGTCATATAAATATAATATTTATGTAAGTATGTACATGGAGATATTATTGAGTATTTTGCAGACTATTTCATGTTATTCATATTAAATGAAATTACACTGTCAGGACACAATAATTTTATTTATTAATTTTACCATTATCAAATGACTTCAAAAAGAAGGATGTTTTATATTCGTTTATTCATCGTTATGTTATTTAACCGATTAATTTCAAAAATCGAAATCAAATGATTCGTGTTAAAGCAATATGAACAAATTATTACTATTATTGTAGTTAAGTTCTAATTTCAATAATAGTAATAAATAAATAAAGTATGATAATATATAAATAATATATAATAAATATTTTAAGTTACAACATTCACTTATTAAAGTAATAATTTCTCACCTGGTCACCCTACCACGCACACGTGACAAAGGATAACTTGTTTTTTATTATCTCACGTGTTACTAGGCATACAGAAGTCGACAAGAAGTTCTCTAATTACGTTTGTGGGAAGTTTTATTTAAAAAATATCGATGTCTATTTAAATGCGAATATTATGCACCTAGAAACAGTAATGTTTCTAATATGCGGCCGGATTTACGGAATAAGCATACATCGCCTCTTAGCGAATACAATATGGTATTTGAAAAAAATGCTATTTTAAGTATAAAAAAAAAAATGTCCACCGTTTGTTAGAGATTTAAACTGAGAGTTCAGTGATCATGCGCAGACGGTTTGTTTTACAATCAGCTTCTATCCGCGAGTTGGTCCGCGTGACCGGGATATGTTCAATGACCAGGATACAGTACGTGTATAGCAAATACCATATAGTCATTAGTTAAGCCATTAAGGCGCTTTGAGGTAACAAACCAACAAACAAACCCACTCTTACATAATATTAGTTAAAGCTTTAGAGCTCGATTTGTAACTGCAACTATATAATAACATACAAACAACCGTTATTGTCATTTTATAAAACGTAAAATATTATCAAACGATAATTGCTAGTGCAGGCTTTTTATAAGTAACCTTATACGTAACACTATACGAATACTCTAATATACATATATAATAAATACATTATGTAACTCTTATACTATTCTTATGTTTTTAAAATACGTACATAATTTAAAATAAACAATCAACACGCATACATCCACTTTCATTCATATACACATTATAAAAATATCAATATTAATTTACACGTAAGCCTTCCCCTCAGGGGATTTTTGCCAGTAGTTGCCACGCTCGGCAGGCGCGTTGGCAACTGCAGTTAGGCTTTCACAGATGTTTTAAAAGGGACGGTGCTGCCAATCCCTCGCCCTCCCTTAGTCGCCTCTTACGACACGTACGGGCAATAGCAGTGGACCATTCTATTCCGGGACCAACACGGCGATATTATTATAATACAATATTATATAATATACAACCGAATTGTACCCTCTTTCTGAAAAAATTCCACGATTGGATTCATTTATTTCAAATCCATATTTCTATGTGTTGTCGACGTAACACGGTGAGTGCGAGCGAGACGAACTCTCTTCACACGCCGCGCCGTAGCACGTGCGTTGAAACGATCTGCTACGGCGCATGCACTGCGAGCGTGCCGCTACGACTCTGTGACGTCATCCGTCTGTGCTACGAATACTCACCTATCCGCTACGAGTGTGTTCTACGACGCAATAACCCAAAATTTCTAATTCTATAACTATAACCCAAATAAGCCACTGCACACATTGTAAATAGTAATTTACAATGTGTGCAGTGGCTTATTTGGGTTAGAGACAAAATGGTAAAATTTATGTATTACATTAATAGCTAGCAAATGCATTGTCGCACATGTTAAATGTGCAACGATACTGCGATTGGAGTTACAGGCAGCTCTGTTAGCTGTTCGACTGGCGCGTACTATATATAACGAGGGAGTAGGGGCTCACAGTCGAACGCCGTTTCCTTTAGTGTGACTCCACTACTGTATTACGTAACAATACGCATATATATATATATATATATATATATATATATATATATATATATATATATATAATATATTGTATAGATACCAGACTTTGTACAAAAGTTGATTGCTTGGGTACCTCTGTCCCATTCGTGTTTCAACCGTGAAGCAGCTGTGTTTGCATGGCTGTGTTTCGGTTTGAAGGGTGGGATATGGTGTGAATTTACAGGGTACAGAATACGCATGGGGGGTATCATGGGCGAAACAGTATGTGTGTGTACTGT